TTTTTGTAGTATTTCGTCATCAAACATAAGATAGTTACAGATATATACATATGATAATACATGTACACATTTACATTGGGATCCATTAGACAGGTTTTAATAGAAAATAATTTTAATGCATCTGTGCACTAGTAATGCGCGCGCGCGCACGCACACACACACACACACACACACACACACACACACACACATAATTACAAAATAACTTAACTTTAAATTTTACTACTTTTATTTAATAATATAAAAGTGTGGTTGATGTGTAAGATACGAAATATCTGTAACATAAGGAACAAGTTCCAATAAAGATTACGCTATGTATATATCGACAACACATGTAAAAAAATGATAAGAATATCACAATGATTAATAATGATCAATATAAAAATACTTTTGCTTTAACACGGTCATTAATGTTAACAATCTGGTAGAGGAGACTTTACAACGTGTGTTGAAGATAACAATTTGTGTGTTATAAAAAAATGGTTCGAAACGAATGATCAATGTTTCCCTCGTTTATTACCAACAGGAGGTTTTTGAAGTTGAAAGTTTGAGCTGGTTCCATTTACTGGCAATGGTGAAGTCAAATTAATTGGCGCGTTAAAATTTAAACTTGCTGTTGGCGGTTTCGTAGATGAGCCTATAGCAATATTAGTAGCAGATGGTACTGGTGTTGAACTTTCCCAAACTGTAACAATATATATATTAACATTGTTACTTTTAATTCACTTGAAAATGCTGTAAAGAAACATAATGTAATAGCTAAAGCCACGGAGTAATATCTCTTTTACCATTAAAAAAGATAAGATAGCGTTCACATATTTTTGAGATGATAATTATATTTCAAAACAGTAATTGTATCATGTTAATACCATTTATTGTTAAATATATAATTGATGTTTTTATATTAATGGACATTTTTGTTACATCTATCACCATAAAAATATTTGTATCTACATTTATAGTTTTTTTTTTTACCCTTAAATTTCCACTTTAAAATCAGTTGAAAAATTGCAAGAGATGTCTATTTTAATCTCTACATATATCCTGCAAAATTTTGTTTGACTCCGTGACGAATGCGACAATATTTTTTGAATAGTATCCATATTTGCAAGCATTACTGCACAACATTGGCAAAGCCGAAAGCACTTAAAGCACACTTATAAAAGGCATTATCGTCTGTTAAGAAAGCATGATTTTGAAATCGAATCTTTTAATAGCATCTCAATGCAAAGTATATAAAAGATCAACAATATTGTAATTATCTATATAAATTAATTAGTTACTTGATAAAAGATTTATATACAGGCAAAGAAGCGCGTTACCCTTTTTCCATCGCGACAATAACAAAAAGAAACTGAAATTAAAAAAATATGAATACCTCAATAATTAAATTACAGCCCCTATTTTTTTTCCTGAAAGGCAAAATTAAAGTCAAATAAGGTAAAAATAAAAAAACGACTGTATCTTTTGTGAAATAATAAGGAAGAAAAGAATAAAAAAAGAGAATAAACAGGCTAAATAATTACACGTTAATTCTATTTAATAATAAACGTCGTTATATGTTAGTAAGTTCTACCTCATAACTAGATCCAGGCAAGACCTGAAGGTAGGAAATCTTTAGGGGGCGGTTAAAATCATCTTTTTTTTAAAGGAATCTTTTACTTAGCATAAGGATAATTAAATTACAAAATGATCAACAATAAGGCTTATTTACCTAAATTTCGTGTTTCATAACTCGCTGGCCGATTTGAGTTTAATGTCGTCGATGATAAAAAATTTTTATTTCCTGTAAGCATTAAAATGTTTTTCAAAATCTACAATATTATATTCGAAATATTTTGAAATACATGTAAATTACCTGGTCCAAAAGGAGTGGGACCACTTGTGATTTTGCCAATGCTGCTTCGATTAGATTTATTGTTCACCTTGATATTGTCGAAAACATTAGTATTATCTTTCAACAAATATTTCCTGAAATTGAGATACTGTTCCTTCTGTTGTTGTACTTTAGCATGTACACTTTGCAGTCGGCCAGCTACTGCGACTAAAGACTCGTGAAGCTTACTCATGGTCGCTGTCAATTCTAATGACAAAGCAATATATCACTAACAATATCCCTCATTAATCCAAATAAATTTAATGAAAGAATAGATTATACCTTGTGGGGTTAAAGTTCTCGGCGCCATCATAGTTTGTATGTGTTTCTCAGTTGTCTCAATTTGTGATCTGAATAACATCAAATCTTGTTCGAAACTTTCAGCTAATTCCATGAAGAATTGTAGGGGCATATTATTTTCATATTGCAAACCAGCTGGAGTATCATGTGTTCTTTGAGCTATTTCGGCGCTCTGCAATGCTCTAGCAGTGTCTTGCTTCAGCTTATCAGCTGAAGAACGATCTCGTTGTACTGAGCCAGATAACGTGGACAACATTTCCATTAGGGACGCTGTATCTTCCGCACATCGATTTAATGGTCTTGCCGAACCTCTTGCAATATCAGAAGATAGGCCTTTTTGCATTTTTACAAATTCCCTGTAAAGTACAAGTTACTGCACTACATACACACCTGGTATATTAAAATAATTTATTTGTCTGTATATGAGTCAATTATTTTCTATATGATTCATTTTATTGATAATTACTTGAATTTGTCTATAGTTTGCATAAGCTCATTTGGCAATAGATTTTCCTTGGCTGCTGTTGAACTACTATTTCCTTGAGAAAGACCCTTATTATTAACAGAAACATCTAAACCACCAAGTCCTTTACTGGTAGTTGTAGTAGTAAGAACAGTCGTTGGCTTTGAACCCAATAAAGTGCTTCCAGTTCCAGATCCGAATAAGGGAGCTGCATATAATTTGTGATAATTGATCATAATAAAAAACTTATATTAGAATAATAGTTAATTAACAAGTATATATATTTTTCTGGCTTTAAGAATAAACCATAAACCAATCAAAATGTCAATAACAGTCACAATGGTTATCAGTATCAAAATCAACACTATAACTGTATGACACAGTAAATGCAAAAAGATGGATAATATAGTCTAATAGATAAATAAGAATAATAGAGTATAAAGTATACATACTGTTGGTAGTAGCTGTACCAAAAGTTAAACTTCCTGTTGCTGTTGTATTAGATGTAGCACCAAAAGTTAGAGTGTTCGTTGTAGCTGGTGTACCAAAGCTGAGACCCGTGAATAAGGGTGTGGATGTTGTAGGGGTAGGAAATAAACTAGGAGCGGTAGTCATTGTAGTAGCTGTGTTGGATCCTAGAAGGAGATTACTACATTGTGCTGGTGTAGAGGTTGCTGGAGTACCAAATCCGAAATTGAGACCTATAGAAGTCGTTGGAGTAGACAGGGCTCCAAACGTTAATGTGCCAGATGTTGTGGTGGGAGTGCCGAACGACGTGTTGGCCAAACCAAAGCCTGTCACTGGTCTAAACAACAAGAACAGAGTTTACAATTAAACATCAAATTTTCTCCCCTTTTGCGAGAAGTAATTTTATAATTTCAATTTGCAATAAATATGTATTAAATAAAAAAAGAACTTTATGTTATTACTTATTAAAGCTATAATAATTTTTTACTGTTTGGAGGTTAATGTTAACATCGATTATAATTTACTTTTGCGCCGCAAATCCAAAACCCGTGCTAGCAGAGGTGACCGCTGGACTTCCGAACGTAAACGCCATTTCACGTCGAGTAAATACAAATAAATATATCACACGCGATAAATAATTTATTTACAATATTATGTAAACACACCGCGAACGTAACAAACTCTTTTTCTTGTATTCAGTCGGAGCATGTGCAGAACACAGTATATATAGTAGCGCAACTCTCTGTCGGTACTTTTGATGTGTGTTGGCCAAAATGGAGTGCGCATGCGTGAAATAAGTAAATTACCTAGCGTTGCCACGGTTACCATTTAAACTTCTTTCTCTTTTCATCCTTTTTTCACTGTGTCAAAATTCTTCGCAAAACACACTAGATTTATTCGCATCGCAATCCAACGAATTCGTTGAAGTGAATAAATGCTATTGTAGAAACCAGAGAGAAACCTGAGAGAGGACATGACGACCCAAAACCTGTAACCGCAAAATGCTGCCGCGCACTGCTGCCCTCTGACAAAGTGAATAAACTATATAGCAACGTCCACTTTTCTTAAGTCTTGTGTCCACGATGTTAGAAATCGGTCCGAGATTTTGGACAAAGAAAAAATGAACAAATCACATTTGAATAATTTGATCACATGACCATTGCGATTCAATTCTTTCTTCATTCGAGGTGTTCGGATCGATTTCTAGCATCGTGGACGTTGCTATATAGTTTACATCCATTTTATCAGAGGGTAGTAGTATCAGAGGGCAGTTCTCTCTATAGGAATATTGAAATATAATAGAGCGACGCGAATAAACCTATATTACAATGAAATAATTTAAACTTTATGAAAATTAATAAAAATAAATTGTAAATATATTAAAATTGACTGTCAGTACTGAAAATCTATAGTGCACGTGACGTAACTTGTAACATTTTCAATGCTGGCAATAAATTTGGAACTCAGTCACGATGTAATTGGGATTGGTGAACGAGGCATTAAATGGAAAGCACCCAATAGTCGTAGACGAGGCTTAAACTGTAGAAAATTGACCAATCATTAATTGATTATTTTTTTTATATTCGTTTGTAATAGATTAATTTTTTATGACTTAAGATCCCACAATACATTTTTTTTCTCTTTAAAGCGAATAGAAAGGAAGAAAAGAGATGAATTATGCAAAAAAATTAGCTAATAAGAACATTTATTAATAATAATTTTGAATTAATCAAAGTTGCTTTATATAGATGAATTCGGCAAATGTGTAGTACTCCAAATTCCAATTGACCGCTAGCGGCGCTAACGCGCATGCGTTAACGAGTGGTTCAGCTGTTGCGAACAATGGCGACGTTTCGACGAACGATGTGACGTTTCGACAGGCTAAATGTTCCCGCTACGCTGCCTAGACGCGGTTGCAAATAAACGCGTATCGGTTCGCGGACGCTGAAACCAGGTCCACGGTTCGTGGCCCTGGTTATCTCGTTCTCTTCTTTTTTCTGTCTTTCGGTACGTCCTCGTCGCTTGCGATGGCTGCGGTAAATGCAAATGCGCTGTCCAGTGACATAAGCCGTAGAAATCCCCAGGACGAGTATGAGCTTATACAGAGGATAGGCAGTGGGACCTACGGCGATGTCTACAAGGTCGGTATTTCCTTAGATTTGACCTTCTCCGTCAATGTCCATGTCAAGGCGCCAATTATCGTATTTCTTGTCTACAGGCTAAACGTCTCTCCATGAATGATCTCGCAGCGATTAAGGTTATCAAACTGGAGCCAGGTGAGTGTGAATATTCACAGAGTGTCCAATATCATATAGTCATCGTACTCGACTGCTCTATTCGACTATTTGTCAATTTTTTGCTTTGTACAAAATATTCTTTTTGTAAAGTGTCATTGCAATTTTTCATATAAATCATGTGAGATTATATGGAAGTGTAAATAATATGAAATACTTGTATATATATTCTGATTTAAATTCTCTGTTTGCATGTACTTTGTTCCCTCTTAATGAAAATGAGATGTTATAAATTTTAGTGTTACAAAGTAGGATAGTTTGCAACATCTGTATGTCTTTTAGGTGATGACTTTGCAATCATTCAACAGGAGATCTTAATGATGAAGGACTGCAGGCATCCAAATATTATTGCTTATTATGGAAGTTATTTAAGAAGAGACAAATTGTGGATATGTATGGAGTATTGTGGAGGTGGATCATTACAGGATATATATCATAGTATGTGAAATATTTATTACTTAATATTTATGTAATATATTAGAAAAGACACATCAAATAATTTTAATTATTAAAATATTCAAACAGTATTTAAAAAGAATAGGCTTATTATATAATTTATAGATTAAATTATATATAAAATTACTGTATATAATACAATATATAGACATATGTATGATATACAATGTACAGTCTTAAATAATGTAAATTTTTTTCTACAACAGTTGTAATATTGAGTTTTAATATATTTCTAGTAACTGGACCATTAACAGAAATACAAATAGCATATATGTGTCGGGAGACCCTCACTGGTTTAGCTTACTTACATAGCATGGGCAAGATGCATCGTGATATTAAGGGTGCCAATATATTGTTGACTGAATCCGGTGATGTAAAATTGGCAGATTTTGGTGTATCAGCGCAGATCACGGCAACAATTAACAAAAGAAAGAGTTTTATCGGTACACCTTATTGGATGGCTCCTGAGGTATGTTCATGTTTATCAATAGGTATTTAATACATTTTATAATTTACAAGAGGATCAATATAGCTGATTTTTTTATAATGCAGGTGGCAGCCGTGGAAAGAAAAGGTGGTTATAATCAATTATGTGATATTTGGGCATGTGGAATAACTGCGATTGAATTAGCGGAATTACAGCCACCTATGTTTGACCTACATCCGATGCGCGCCTTATTTCTTATGTCCAAATCTGGCTTCAAGCCACCAACATTGAAGGATCGCGATAAATGGAGTCCAACGTTCCATAACTTCGTCAAAGTTGCCCTCACAAAAAATCCGAAAAAAAGGCCGACAGCAGAGAAGTTGCTTCAGGTATTTTTATTTTATTATTGATAGATTTACTTATAAAGTCTATATTTTCCAAAATATTCTCTTCGAAGAAAATTTTATTCGAAATATATAGTACACGATATTATTCTAGATATACTAGATATATTATATTCTAGATATACTATATATTGTAAAATTTTTCTTGGAGAAAACATTTTGGAATGTAACCAAAGAAAATATGATATCTTTATGAAATAATTATTAACGTATATATATATATATATATATATATAGTCTATAGGAAGTATTTTGAATTGTAGCATGCGTTTTTCCAAGGAGAGATGAATAAGAGACTGGCTTTAGAATTATTGCAAAAAGTGTCGAATCCCAGCCATATGTTCACGGATCTGGAGGCCGATGAAGACGGGGCGGTACCCAATGTTCCACAAAGAATAGCCTCTCGTCTAACTGCAAGGCCTAGGCCAAAAAGTCCAATATCGCAACTGGACAGTGATGGTAAGAATAATAATAATTAAATAAATAATAAATGACGAATAATGTTTTATACTATGATATAATTGTGATTATAATTTGTCCTGCAGATCAAATCAACATCGATGGAGGGACATTACATAGAGATGCTATATCACCGTCTGTGGACAGTAATCCAGCGTGGGATATTATGGATATCATGAATAACGTTAAAGTAAGTTCATTACAGATATTTATTCCATTTATGTGCTAATTATTAAATATGTTTTTCAAATGCGATTTATGTCAATAATATTATAAATATGATTTGCTTATATGTACATATAGGCCGTGCATAATTGTGATGTGCATCCAGACTGTGGGATTGGATCTGCGTTTGAAGACGTCCAGGAAAAGTAAGTTGTTTTATATTTTACTCCATCAATTTTTATCACGGTGTACAGAAAACACCAAAAATATCAAAGCTTCTCTTTCACTAATATGGTAGTTGCTGTTTTGTTCGAAATTGTAAATATATTTGCCTTATGAATATGCAAGATCCCAAAAATTATTATATAAAAAGATTTTAGGCACAGACTTGCATAATGTACATATTTATGCAATATATATTGTTTTCTATATGTGTACATATTGATTAAAGAGAAGTAGATATAAGTTATAATAATAAATTCAATTATAAATTCAACACAACATCATATACATTGCTAAACAAGACAGCAATATAGTATACATTATTGTATAAAAATCATAAACATCTTACTCTCTTGGCTGATAATAACTAATAAATACATTGCATATGGCATGTGCTTATGCTTGTATCATGTCATACTAGTTGTCAAAGTAAGAGAAATATGTACATACATTCATTATCTTTATATTTGAAACAGCAGCACATCATATTCTGAAGTAGTTTAATAGAGTAAGAAATTTTTAATTTTTTTAATTTAAGTAAGAAATTTTTTTAATAAAAAGTAAAGCAGAAATTGAAAAATTATTATTCAATTTTTAAATATAAATAGATTTATTCTTTACAATCGTCCCTTATATTGTTATTAAATTATTTTTCTTTATTTTTACCGCGAAAAACTATTTTATTCGAAAAATTGTGATAGTATATTTTTCAAAAATATACTTATTTTTGTATCAGTACACTTGGTGCGAACCTTAAGACAAGTAAAATATCGAAGCGTCGTAGCAAAACTGGCACAGAGATATTTCGTATGTCTTTAAGGTAATACAAACATTGGTTTGAAGTGAAAAGTTTCTTTTTACTTTTAATATAACAAAAATATGTTTTTATATATCAAAACAAATTATTCTATTTACATTCACTTCTATAAAATGCTTGAAAATCTGGTCGGCCCTGTGAATTATGGAAAATTTTAATTATGAAATAAATTAAATTATCATTCTCTCTAATATAATATAAAAATTTATAATCAAAGCGATTTTAGAAAGTATGAAAGTCAAACATACACATTATATTTGAATAGAGTTAACATACTAGATATTTACTCAAGCTTTCAGCCAAATATAAATAATTAAATAGTGTGAATAATTATATATATGTATATATATATATA